CCCCCCAGCAGCCCACCACCCCCCCCACCGGCACGGGGGCGCTACAAACAGCGAGAGGGAAATCGCAGATTGTTTCAAAAGTCGAAATCAGAGAGGACTGCACATTCGGCTTGGGGAGGAGGGCAAAAAGCCCCAGCGAGAACTAAACCTGAAGGGTGACAGAAGCTAACCGGCTTTTTTCAGAGCCGGTCCAGAGCAGCGTCGACGCTTCATGAACGCCGGTGCTTTGCAATCGATTTGTAAAGCGGGGTTTATTTTGTGAGGCTGAAATAAAAGAAGCTCTAAGCAAATATCTGTGTGCGCCAGGCAGCGGCAGCTGGCACGCTTTTGAGGGAGAAAAAAACCTCTGCGTACGGCTCAGAGGCGGTAATTCCCGGGCAGAGAGCAGCGGGGCCGGTGCTGGGCTGCCCTCAGGCGGAGTTTTTAGCAATATCCCCACCGGCAGCGACAGCCCGTAGCGAGCAGTTTTCAAGTCTCGCAATGCGGTGGCAGAAAAACCCTACAGAGATTTTGATATTTTCTGTAGCAAACGGGGAAAGAGGGGGGCGCGCTTCCCAGCGAGACACCCCCCCCTGCCCTCTTCGCCCCACCGTTGCGGCGTTTGGGGAAGTTAACTTCAGAAGGACTTTTCTTGCAAAGCAAAGAGCCGCCTGGTACTGCAGCATCCCTGTCCCATTCGGACGGCGATAAGCTGGGCGGTGATTCTGTCTCCTGTGCGGTGGTGTTTCTGACACCGGCTCTGCAGCGCCTTGCGCTTCTGCCCATCGCCCCGTGGGAGCGGTGTGGAATACGGAGCGCAAAATGGGAGGGCAGCCAGCCCGGCTGCCTGGAAGCCCTCATAGGGATGACTTGATGTCTGCCGTAACGGCCAGTGGTGACCACAAACCTCTTGGTCACCTTTTAAATCCTTCTGTGGCTTCCAAGGGGGCAACACAGACAGGCGGCTCAACGCTGCAGCCTTGTGTAGACCTGTTGGCCAAGGGGCTGCAAGCCCCACGTCTCCCACATCCCCAACTGTGGTGTAGGTGTGCAGCGCCTGTTTCCCATGTGCCGTGAACGCGTTAAAGTTCATATATTAGCTGCTATAATTTCTCCGCACTTAGTTCTTAGAGAGGTACGTGGCAAAAGCAATAGAAGAGGAAATTAAAGCTCAGAGGAATCAAGGGAGAGAAGCCAAAGTGACGTTGGTGGCATCAGCCTACGCCACAACCTCTCTCCGGGTGACTCGCTGAGGCGATGGGGAAGGAAGAAATGTTCGCTCTGCTGGGGTTTTTCTTTTTTGATACTGAAAAATTTGATCAAAACCATGTGATAGAGGCTGTGTCTGACCTCAGTGCCAGATCTGTTGCTCTTGGTAGCAATGAGAAGTCAAAGCCCCACCTGGCAGCGGTGGCATCAGGTTGAGCTCTGGCCGTGAGAAGGCACGAAGCACTTTGCTGGGTTTGTGCTCTGCTCCACAGCTTAATATCAGCCTTGATGCTCCTGGCTTCCTCCTTTAGGAGCAGACCAAGGGCTGCAGCCGCTGAAATGTTTGGGCAGCAAAGCGCTTGTGATGTTCTCAGCATGAGCTAAAGGTGAGGGATGCAGAAGCTTCGTGCCATCTCCACCCACAGTCTGGGGCTGTCAGTCTTGCCATCACCACAGACAGGCAGTGGGCTCAGCGCAGCCTCCGGCGCCGCCAGCAGTGGTGTGCCGTCCTGCTTGTCTGTGTTCCCCTCACACATTATGAGCTTCCAGACTTCGTATCACCACGACTGCACAACTCTGCCTTTCCCTTTCCTCTTCCGCCAGAGTATGTTCCCCTTTGGTCCCCAAGGAATCCAGTGCACGACGTCCTTGCAGGGAGGTCTCCCCAGGATGGTCCATCACCCACTGCACCCAGTGAGCCTTAACCGTCCATTCCCTGTACACTTAGGACTCTGAGACTTCACATTCTCCCCATGATGACAAAAAGGCTGATTTACCATCCAGATTTCAGGTCGTCAAAATGATTTGAGTGCCTTTTTGTCCAAATGAAGGTATGAAGATCACCTGCTCTTTCTTGGTTCAAAGTTCTTGGTGAACATTTGTAACAACTCCTCCCAACCCGAGGATCTGCCCTCTTCCCAACACTCCCCCTCAGCGGAGACACAGAGAGATCCACTGTCAAGTCACGGCTGACAGTTACTGGAACACCTTGTCCTCGTTAGTACATTACTGTTAACGGACTCAAGCTGTTACGACTACCAGGAGATAACTAGTCCCTCACACCACATGGGACCAAGGCTGGCTGTTGACTGAGGAGTGGAGAGTCATGCTGACATGCCAGGGGCTCCTCGTGGTGTGATGCTAGAAGGCGTCGCCAAACCTTCTAGATTTGGAAGGTCTCCCAGAGGGTCTGCTCTCGCAGCAGGCATAATCCTGTAGTCCGTCCGCACAGAGCAGCCTCTGTCTCCTTGGATATGGTTGTGGTTGCACAGCTGGCTGCTCATGCTCCGGCATGCTGGTGACCTGAGAAACCTTCAGCAGACTTATGGTGTCCTGAGTTTATCCGCCCCTGCAGACTCAACAGCGCTCTGGAGCTTATCAGTTCTTGGGAGGCTTTCACCAGCTATCTCTCAGCACACGCTTCTCTCTTCAGCCTGCTGTTCTCCAGGAACTACTTCTCCACCCATCCTGACTGTACCCATCCACAGGGAAGGGACCTTTGCAAAATAAGAGCTCAGCCCTGAGCAGTACCATGAGATGGGTACCATCCACTGGACAGACACAGCTAAGGCTATGGTGGAACCCCTCCTGCCCCTCAGGCTGGGGGCACAGAAAGGCTCTCCCATTAATTAATAACCCTCCTGATGCTAGAAGGCGTCGCCAAAGCCAGGACACTGTCACAGCAGTGAGGCGCACGAGCCAAGCCATGGGCTCCCTGCTCCCACACAGAGCGAGACACCGGCATCGCCGGAGCACGCGTCCGCACCGAGGGGCCAAGCATCTCCCCACGCCTCAGCGTGGCATTTGGCAAACCAGCCCAGCTCTCCTCGGACTGGTCCAGGGAGGAGGCCCTGGGCAACAGAGCTGCCGAAGGGGCAAGTCCTGACAATGGTGGGCCCTTGATGGTGGCTTCTCTTCAACCCTTGCTCTGTACGCTCGCATCCAGCTCGGTTTGGTACCAGGCCATTTCTTTTCAAGAGGCCCCTGCGGGCTGCAGGAGCTGCTTCCCTGGGCTAGGGTGGTCCACTGTCCATGGCAGGGGAATCGGAGCATCCTCAGGAGATGCCAAGGCAGAGGTATCCAGCTCAGCAAGTGAGCCCCTCAGCCACAGCTCCATATAACTTGCTGCCACCTCAGCAATGTTCAGAGCTGGACTGGAACACCAAGGCCTCGCGGTCAGAGCCAAATCACCAGGACTGGGGAAGGAGAGGTAGGCTGTTCCATACCTCCTGTAGGAACTGCTGTCACCTCCCCCTTTAGAGCTGGCGGTGGGAGCAAAGGGCAGACACTGGTCCACAGCCTGAGCTCAGCCTGTCCCAGTCCCTCCATCACCTACCGTCCATGGAGCCAGGGCTCCCCTGGGGTGCACCAAAGGCACCCATGGTCCCCTGGGGTGCATCAGGTGAGGTCCTCGTGGTGGACCCATTCTTGTGAGCCCCCACGGGAAGGCTGCTTCCACACCTTGTGCATATTTTTCCCCCAAGCAACCAAGGACCAAGCCCAGTTGGGAGTATACAACCATAACCTTACATGGAAAATTAACGTTAACTCTTACCTTAACGACAAACCTCACTCGGGGGCCTGGACATAGCCAAACACTTGTCATGGCCGCCAAGTCACTCCCGGTGGTGTGAGCACCGTGTGGAGCACCCAGGAGGAGCTGGGCTGTGAGAACCCAAACAAAAAACACTCACTCTGCAGAGGTGCTCCCACCTGATGCCTAATCCCCAGGGCCACCCATGGCGTAGCTCCAGCCCCACTTGGACTGTCCGGCCACCACGAGCTGTCAGAATCTGCACCTCAGGCCAGACTCTGACCCACCTCCCCCTTGTCCCCAGGACTGAGCTGGTACCCGGCCCCACACCGAGCATCCTGCCAGCCCAAAGCTTCCCTGAGCACCGCCCAGGATTCCCCATTCCACCTCTCATCTGTGGACCGACTCTGAGTGAGAACATAAGAAAACCCACACAGAGCAAACCACTGATGGAGCTTCGATCCCCCTTTAAACATCCCCGACCCTCCTCATCCTCCCTGAGCCACAGTTCTGCCAAACACTCCAGACTGGTTTTCTTTTCAAAAGTACTCTTTTATTTTTCAGCTGCTTTTGGGAGGGGAAGTGATGTTAAGTCCTCCGGTTTCTACCCAACGTGCCAGTGTAAACAGAAACATTTTAAACCACAAGTAAAGAAGAAACTATGCCCACATGTCAGCACGTGGCACCTGTGGTGAGGAGCTTGCAGCGATGGGCCGGGAACTTCTACAGCGAGAGATTTCAATCAGTTCTCTGCTAAGGCTGAGTTGGGGGAGTTTCAGAGTCATACACGAAATCAGACAGTTAAATCCGTCATGAAACAGACATTTCTATCACATGGGAGAAGCTCCACCGTCTAAATACAACCCAAAATGACAGATGGGTGGAGACCGATGGAGCAACAAAAGGCCAAACTCTCTGTGCCCTGAGTTATAAAGCCAGATGGTTTTGCCATGATTCATGGAGAATAAGCATCTCTGCCATCATCAGTGTGTATTTCTTGGTTTCTCCAGAAAAGTCATGGATTTGCAGCTGACTTCAGGCAGTGCAAATGAGACGAGCTGCGACACCAGATCCATCTGCCCCCAACAATAAAAAAAACTGGTGTAGCTCATTCCTGTTGTCTTTTCTGCTGCTCTCCAGCGTTACCCATCTTCCTTCCCCACCCGTCTGCCCTTGTTTCCCACACCAGCACTCCTCTGGGCACCAGTTCTTCTCCCATCAGGAGAGGGCACCAGTTCTCTTCCCATCTCCTCCCACCCCTTACCAGCTTCCCACCCTCCTGCCCTCTTCTGGGCACTCTTCAACTGCATTCAGCCTGGAGAAGAGAAGGCTCAGGGAGACCTTATTGCAGCCTTCCAGTCCCAAACTGGGGCCTACAGGAGAGCTGGGGAGGGACTTTTTACAAGGACAACAGGGAACAGTTTTACACTGAAAGAGGGGAGATTGAGATGAGAAGAGGAAGAAATCCTTCCCTGTGAGGGCGGTGATCCCCTGGGGCAGGTTGCCCCGAGAAGCTGTGGCTGCCCCATCCCTGGAGGTGTTCAAGGCCAGGTTGGACGGGGCTTGGAGCAACCTGGGCTGGTGGGAGGTGGCCCTGCCCAGGGCAGGGGGTGGCACTGGATGGTCTTCAAGGTCCCTTCCCACCCAAACCATTCTATGATTTTATGATTTATTTGGAAGTAAGGTCTAAACTGTGAACAACAGAGTTGACATTTCAATATATATTCAATTTCATTACAAATTACATGCTCTCAGAAGACAGACGAAAGACAAAAAATGTTGCATGCAAAATTCCCAGGCTCCTCTTTTGCTGTCTCTATGTCTTTGACATCCCCATCCACACACCCCTGACATTTCCCCCTCCGCTCCGTCAGTGGGCTGGGCCCCGCTGTCCTGCCCCGCCCCAGCCGCAGCTGCCTGGGGACCACTGCCCCGAGCATCCCTCCCTACGCCGCTGTTTCACCCAGGGACAACCCTCCCATGGGGGCTCCTCTGTATGGGGCTGCCAGGCCATGTCTGGCACAGTAAATGGGAAGAAACCAACACAAAATACTTGCTGATAACTTTCATTCTGCCATACCAGCTAGAAACGTATGTTTGCACGTAACTGGCAGTGGCTTCCAACGCCTGAGCAGTACGAACAAACCAAACCGGACATTTCTCAGCCAAAGACCATGAAAAGACACCGTAATCTGTAAAATACATTAGGAGGTCTACTTACTGAATAGTAACTGGAGGAAAATTGAAGTTTGTAATCCTCAGAGTATATTGTTCCCTCTTACTACACCAGCCATACATTTTGGGGGTTGACACAGTGTCTATAAAACGAGCAGCTTGAAACAAAGAAGAAAGCAGTGATTCGCTCTGAACACGGCAGGCCAGGGTGTCTTTGCCATGACGGCACTGTCGCTTTACCTCCACGGGCGTTCCTTTAGCTCCAAGAGAGCTTTGTCTCCACACAACAACGCGTGGCAAACGGGATCCCAAAGCACCAACTGCCCAGTGCTGCTCTGCGTTTTCCCATCCTCGCTGTCCTGCTAACGGTCCCATCCACCAGAGCCCAGCGAACATCTGGAGGAGCACCAGATGGGGTCTGGTTTGAACCTCCAGGTCACATCCGCCGAGCACAGCATGAGCTATCACACCCCTACCTGCTGCTCCCCAGTTTGCACCAGTTCTCCATCCCAGTGCATGGGGCTGGTGGTCATTCGGAAGGGAGAGGTTGTCCTCCCCGGGCAAGTTTCTCGGTTGCCATCAAGCAACAAACCCACACGTGGAAAGCCTTTCTACTGGCCACCTGCAAACACATCTCCTGCTGTGGGTCTGCTGGCAGCAAAGATGCTTCCGCAGACGTTCATACTCCTTTCACTTCTCCAATCCTCCAAAGTGGGATAGAGGACTTGTTTTCGACGGGGAAAGGTTGCGCAGTTCTGTCCAGAGAAGGCAGCGCAGAAGGGCATGGACCAGGCTTGCTAGATGCCAACGTCCAGGTTGAGAAATGAGACATTGCTGTACAAGTCTGATGAGACCGAGCTGGTCTCCAGGGTGCGGGTCCGACCGGGCAGTGGGGATGGAGTGTGCTCCTCTGTTGAATCCTTATTCTCTGTGCTCCTAAGAAAATAAAGAAAAAAAGGAGAGGTGCTATCTGCAACTGCTTCTATGGCCAACTCCATGCCTGAATGGCCTCTAGCAGCGACCCCAAGGATTTGCCATCTCTTTGGATAGTCCCAAAAGGAACGTGAAGACAGGCAAGGAGCGGCAGCAGAGACAACTCGTAAGGTCTGTGCTCCAGGAAAAGGTGGGTGCGATGAGGGGTTCTGGTGCAGGGCAGATTTTGGTAAATGTAGGTGCGCACCCAAAAAGGTTCTGATGAAGGGCAGATTTGGGTAAAGGAGAGAGCATGGCACAGTCTGGGGGAGGAAAAAAGGAGAATAGGGAGGTGCAAGGGACAGAAAAGCTGGGTTGCTTCAGCCGATGGAATGCATTAGCGCAGAAAGTGAAGGATTTTAGCCAGGGACTTCATGACCAAAAGTGGTAGAAGGAAGAGGAAAGATGGTCAGGAGGATGATTTGTCCATCAGCAGCGCAGTGCGTGTTGCTGCAGGAGGGCTTTGCCCCTGTGCAGAGAGGTGCCCTTCGGCAGCACCGCAGCTCGCGGGGACTTACGGCATGGCGTTGATCTTCCTGCGCAAAAGATAGTCGATGACATCGGGGTCTGTCTGAAATAGCCTCCTTAGGATGTGACATTGCATCTCTGGAGAGACCTGGGAGGGATACACGGACACAATCACTCGTGGCACCTCCTCCTCTCCGGAGGAGGACGAGCAGAGGCAGCCAAGGACAGTAAAGGTCAATAGGTGCTCACAGACCCGCTGTGTTGGTCTCATGTCCCACACACATCCCGGGGGTCTGACCAGAATCTCAGCCCCTGTTTTTCGCACGCTAACCCTGACCGTTGGCTCCCTCTTTCCCTGACAAACCCTACAAGGCTTTTGCTTTTCGGGTACCTGAAATATCACATTCCCATAGATCCATAGGAAATGGACATTTCTGTATATCTCTGGAATGTCTTTGGAATTTGGGGTTATTCAGTCTAGAGAAGAGAAGGCTCAGGGAGACCTTATTGCAGCCTTCCAGTGCCTGAAGGGGCTCCAGGAGAGCTGGGGAGAGACTTTTTACAAGGGCATGGAGTGATAGGATGAGGGGGAATGGCTTCAGACTGGAAGAGGGGAGATTTAGGTGAGAAATCAGGAAGACATTTTTCATTCTGAGGGTGGTGATCCCCTGGGGCAGGTTGCCCCGAGAAGCTGTGGCTGACCCATCCCTGGAGGTGGTCAAGGCCAGGTTGGACGGGGCTTGGAGCAACCTGGGCTGGGGGGAGGTGGCCCTGCCCAGGGCAGGGGGTGGCACTGGATGATCTTCAAGGTCCCTTCCAACCCAAACCATTCTATGATGCTATGATTCCCAGGTCCTCTCCTAAAAGCAGGGCCAGGAGGACTGCTCAGTGTATGCTCTTGCTGATCCAGAGGGTTTCTGCTGGGGTTTCAAACAGCTGCCCAGCCTCCAAGGACAACAGCCACTTCAGCTGTGGCACCCACCTACATTGCGTCCCTTGGAGACTGCTTTAGAGTGCCTGAGTCCACCCGAAGCACCCGTGGTGCTCGAGACGGAACCTTGCTGCACATCCTCAGGGGCTCTCCCACCCAACCAACATATCCGCCTCCGAGCAACCCTGCCTGCGCTCAGGTGCTGCATGGCACTGCTCTTGTCCTTCTCCACCTGCACTACAGCAGGACAGAGTGGTCAGTTCAACAGCAAAGGCTTAAAGCCCACCTGGACAACCACGCAGAGCAGGATTTGGCCAGGAGAAGACACAGGGGGCTGTTACTGCAAGTGCCCCATGGGAGGGTGGAGAGGGGATGGAGGCAAACCCTTCCCAGAGGTTCCTGGGCATGGACCAAGGCGCAGCAGGGACAAGCTGTAGAGGGGACGCTTCTGACAAGGAGCGAGTTCTTCCCCTGAGGGTGGTGCAGCCCTGGGACAGGACGCAGAGAGGTCACGGCTCTCCATCCCTGGAAGTACGTAAACCCCAGCTGGATGCAGCCCTGATCTAGCTTGAAGTGAGCCCCGGTCTCGTAGGTCTGGAAGCCCCAAAGCTCTTTTCCCATATGAACCTTCACATGACTCTAAAAGACGCTTTTGGGAAACCCACGTCAATGAATCCCCTAGGACAGGATGAGCACTCCCTGAGTCACACTGATGGTCCAAATCATCCACTGAAGTAGATCTGAAGTGATCCCGTCCTTCACTGCCCTCACCAGCTCTCCCCACTGTTACATCCTCACCACATCTGCCCGAGGTGGTGGCATCTCCACCCCACGCCATCACTTTCCAGCTCCTTCCCCCTTCCAGGGTCTCCCATTTTTTCCTCTTCTTTGCCCCCTCACTGGGAATTTAGGGGAGAAACAGCACTGAGGTGCCATTCCTGCAGTTGCTCCTGGCCAGTCATTTCCTGTCCCAAACGAGCTTAGTCAGACATCACCGGGGTGGAAGGCGACAGAGAAGAGGGAACCTTGTTCATGACATGACCCTCAGCTCTGCCTTTATGATACCAGTAACAAGCCATCCCAAATTAATACTTACACCTGCCATGAGGAATGAATCACGTTTTCACAAGGTGACTCGAGTCATCTACTGCTAAGTGGGGCTGTGAATACATCCTTCCTTCTGCTGCTATCAGAAGAGCTCAGAGGGGAAGGAAAGGTCTAGAGAAGCTGCCCTGAGAAAGCCTCACCTACCATGAACAAGGTCTGGTAGTGCTCAATCAGCCTCTGGAGTACCAGTATGATGGCAGCACTGTCTTCGAAGTTCATGGCACCAACGTCTTTCTCCCCAGGCTTCTCTTTCTGAAGGATGTTGGGACCAAAGATTGTGGCCAAGTTTGAAACTGTCATTTTATTCCCAGGAATCTAGCAAGCAAGGCCAAAGGGAAATTGCAGATTATAGATGCATCGGCATGAGATGTCCCAGGATAGCCTCGCCCACCCCAGGACAGGAACACCAGCTGTGGAGTGAGGCCAGGGCATTGATCTGGGTCCAGTTTGGTCCTCTCCAAGCTGGTGGCAGGGTCAGCATGAAGGGTTTGTGGTGCTGGAGCACACGCTCATCCCCTCCTCGCATCAAGGCCTCCATTCCCATCTACCTCACTTTCCCAACCCCTACCAAAAGGTAACAACCAATATTTCTGTATCATCTCACAATATGGGACAAAACCAGTCTCTCTGAATCATGGAGAGACTTACAGCTCAAATTGCCCAGAGAAACCAAAATCAACCTCAATGCACGACCATAAGTCCGTAAGAGGTGGAAAAACAGAATTAGTGCACAAAAAATGCCTACGGACACACAGCCAGGTCTCTCTGGGGTTACTTCAACCCAGAAAATCCCTTGGGTGGACTGAGAGCAACCCAGACCTGCCATGGACGAGGGGATTTACCAACAATTTGGTTTCGCCAAAGGATTCACCCAGGCTCACGAGAAGCTCTGCTTGGTTTTCACCGACGAAGTTTGAGCCACCCCTTCTTCATGCAGTCGGCCTGTTTGGGCCAGCCTTACCTCCTGGCCATCGGGGCCCCGGGAGATCTCGGCGTGCCGGGCCACCTCGCTGAGGAACCGCAGGAGCCGGTGCAGCGTGTCGCTGTGGCAGGGGGGCAGCAGGAAGAGCAGCAGCTGGAGGGCGGCCAGCTGTGCCGGACCCTCCATGGCTAGGCAGAGAGCAGCCCGTTAATTAGTGCGGTTCCCAGCCCACCAGGCACCTCCAGATGGACAGCCCTCATTTACATCCACGGTAACGAGCTCCGGAGGGAGCCAGACTGGCGTCTTACCCTTCATCCCGTCCATGCAGGGACAAGCGTTCTGGGAGACCCCCAGCAAGGGCTGCGACGTGATTGCATTTGGGTTTGTACAGCCCCATGGTCAAAGACTGTCCTCGACCAGAGGGATAATAATCCAATTATCAAAAAAAAAAAAACCCAAAACCCAAACCACAAACTGCAGCAATTCTGCGTGGCAGCGGCAGGCAGCACATGGCCGATGCCACTGCTGTCAAGCGGTTTTGGCAAAGAAGGGCGGTAAGGATGGATCCAGGAGCCAAATGTTTGGAACATCGTACGTGGTGTGATGTGAACTCATGGATTCACCCTACGGTCCAGGACCATTCTGCCTTTTTACTAACAGTGTCAGCAAGGGGGAAGGAAGTCGCCTCACTGCAGCGATAGGGATGCTGAGCTGGAGAGGGAGGAGGACAGGGAGAAGGCACACACTCAGCCAGCCAAGGCTGGAGAAGGCTAAAAAAAATAATAAAAATAAAGGAGGGTATGATGCAAAAGGGACATTCAAAGCTCTGTGTGATGGATGGCCGGTGAGGAAAGGGCGGACAGCATGGTTCCATATCCTGCGCTGGTGCTGGCTGCGAAGGGACGCTCCTTAGATCACTTATATAGGGAGAACTGGCAAGATCTTCTGGTTCAGGTGTGAGGATCACCAGCCCGCTGTGAGCTGAAGGTCTGCTCAGATCACACCCCCCAGCAGTGACAAGAGAACAGGGATGACAGCAGCGTGTAACGGAGCACGTAACCAAACCGCAGCGCTGCAACCTGCTGAA